ATCAAATCCTATCACTAAAGGTTTGGGTCCTCTCCAATTCTTCATTAGAATATCCAAAGAATGGTTACTAACATTATAAACATTGCAAGTAAAAGTTATTGACTTTAAGTTTTTTGGTAATGTTTCATTTAATACTGTCAATATTTTATCACAATCTATTTTAGCATTAAAATAATTACGAAATCTAATACTTTTTAATTTAGTACAATTATTAAGCACTTCCATTAATTCCTGGTTGAATTTGTTCTCATATATTATAGATAAATCTTCTAAATTTTCACAATATTGTGCAATTGATTGAAATAGCTTTCTCAAGAATTCATCATTCTCACCATAAATATAAATATCCAAATTTTTAAAATTTTTTCCATTGATATTAATAAAATCAGGTAATTCTGATAGATATAGTTGATGAGTAATAATATATAACTCCACAGATTCAATATTTGGCAGTAAAATATTTTTCAAATATATCATTTTGTTATTAGCATGAATTATTAATTCTAAAGTCTTTAAATTTTTAAAAGTTGGCAATAAGAAACTATTAAAATTATCCTCATTGCCATGAGATCTATAAAAAATTATTGATTGTGAATGTGTTAATATTGCTTTTTTTAATTCATCTGGTAACATTGTTGATGTAATAGTTAAATATTTAATTTGCTCTTGTGTTTTAATTAGCTGTGCTAAATTATATATACTTTTATCATTACCACCACAATATATTGTTAATGATTGAATATTTTTACAAATACTTGCTAATTTATCAAAAAATTCACTACTATCAGAGCTATGACAACCTATTCCATAAAGATTCTGAAAACAATTATCAAATCTATGATGGTTAATTAATAAATTATAATCTACATAATGAGAACCAAACTTTTTAATACCTGCTGAATGATCTAAAATAAAATTTATTAATTTATTTTCTAAAATTTGAAAATATAATTCTCTATTTTTTACCAGGTATTGAAAATCATAACAATTATAAATTAAAGTACAAAATCTGGCATAATTGTATAATGGTGGTTTCTCCAATAGTTCAAAAGTTAATTCAATGCAATTCCTAGTTAAGAAATCTTTATCTTCTTCTAATACACAATTAATTAATATTTTGATGCTGCCATCATAATTAAGTGGATTCTTCCATAAAGTTGGAATATTTACATTGCGCCATTGTTTGTTGACAAGAATACAAGAATACAATTCTTGGTAATCACCTTCAATATATTTGAATATTTCAGTCAGAAGTTCAAGTGGCAAACTATTTATTTCAATCATTTTTTTAATAATTTGTTTGTTGCACAATGTAAATGAAAAAAAAA